GAGCACCGGTAGGATCATTATGACGGAAAAGGTTGACCTGAGTCCGCATTTGTCGCACACACTCATCCGGGTTACCCAATTGGGACTCCCTTATGGCAACAATAGCTGCTACTTCATCAGGGTATACGGTCTCCACACATTCTTTAAACTTTTGTAAACTAGTCATAGCTTCGTCATCTTTGCACGCTAATTTACCTGGTAGTAGTTACAAAATTAGACAAGCACCATTATTATCTACCGTATTTAATCAATTTCAAGTTTATTATGATTAAAATAATAATATAAATTTTATTGGCGTATATTTACCACAAAAGAAATTTCCCGCGTTGCGTCTAAGTTCATCAGTCACTAAATCCTTTGATGATACATTATTTAGATAAAGGACCATGCCTATTAAGATTAATATAGAATTTTCCATGTTTACAAATATTAATAAACTAACTAATAACCTTTGTAAAATGTGTTAAATATTAATATATTGAAAGGTTTTAAATTAACTTTTTACATACATTAAATAAAATAATGATGCTTGCACTTAATTTCCATTGTTTGGTTTCCTGGAACTTAAGTACATTTTTAAGGACTCAAGTCAAGTACATAATTAACAGATAATTATATTAATATATACATTTGGAAAATTACTATTCAATTGGTTGATAAATTTCTACTTAACACGAATAATGCAATATTTGACTAATTTTTTATTTAAAACTTTATATTATTTTATAAATCTAAATATCTTTAAATGGATGTACTAAATTATTATTTTACATAAATTGTTTTATATAAAATTTAATTTTAAAAATTCATTTTTCAGTATAATATGTTAAAAACAAAACTCTAATAACAAGTAAAAGATTGAAAATAGTTTTATGTGTATTAAATCTTTTGCCAAAATCTATTAGAATCTTTTAAAGTTTGTTATTTTAAAACATAATTATAAATTTGTATTTAATACCATAGATAAATAATTGTTAATAAATTGATAAATATTAATTAGTTATTTTTTCAAAATTAAAAGTAATAATCAGTTTTGTATCCATACTATATATAATATAAATATATGATGATATATTGATGAGATATTGAATTGATTGTTATTTAGACAGGTAATGCATACAACATAAGCTGATAGATACCGACGCTTATTAGCAGTGTATAAGTTGTGTGATCCTTAGATTGTCACGAATACAAGCGACCACTTGTAGGGCACCCGTGGGATCACTTCGACGGAAACGGTTTATCTGTGTCCGCATTTGTCTCACACACTCATCCGGGTTATTCAAATGGGCTTCCCTTATTGCCACAAGTGATGCCACTTCATCCGGGTATATGGTTTCCACACATTCTTTAAACTTTCGTAAACTGATCCTGGCCTCTTCATCTTTACACGTGCCTATATATGTTTTACAGTATAATAATATTAATTATTATTATTAAGTATTACCTGCAATAGTTATTAATATTTTAATATTTCTATAATTAACATAAATATACCGCAAAATAGTTTCCGAGCGTTGTGTCTAATTTCATCAGTGAATAAATCTTGAGTTGACATAATTTAGGAAAATAGCCAAGGTAATGCAAATTAATAGTAGTTTATCCATAATAACAAGTATTGATAAAATACTTTCTTTCAAATAATGAAGTTTATATAAAATTTTATTGTATTGAATAAATTTGATTTACCATGTTACTTATTTTATTTATATAGTTGCATTGAACAAAGCAAAAGATGTTAATTATCTGATGTAATTATTGTTTTGGATTTCCTGGATATGTAGTATATTTTAGCAACAGAACTAAAATATAATTATTATTTTTTATAAAAACAATTATCTCTGCAATAATTGGATGGGCCCGTGCAGAATAATTCTTAGAAATACACTTCAAACTGTAATTTTGTCAAACTTTATTTGTTAATGTGTGTTAGTGCAAAATTACAGTTTGAAATGTATATTTCTAGGAATACTTCAACAAATTATAGTCCAATTATTGATTTATATAAATTATGTATTAAAGAATATTTGTTTTAATAACATTTGAGTAAAATAAATTAATTTATCAAAATCTCGAATCCAAGAATTTAAAAATAGTAAATTTTATTAAAAAATGATTCAGGAATAGTCATATAAAATTGAAACAAACATTAAATATCAAATTCACTAATAATTTATCAAATTTCATATTGTGATTAATTTTCACAAATATTTATGAGATTCTGTTGATTCAATATATCACTGTACAATTTTCAATATCACCCTGAAGTTCATATTCCCCTAAACTTAAATATTGCCGGATAGAAGATTGATTATGAGTATAGATAACAAGTTTAGAAAGTTTATATGCTACTTAAGTACAACTTTTCTAATGTTATTATCTATACTCATAATCAATCTTCTATCCGGCAATATTTAAGTTTAGGGGAATATGAACTTCAGGGTGATATTGAAAATTGTACAGTGATATGAATAAAATTTAAACGGATGATACCAGACAAATATTAGCTTATTTTTCGCAGTTTCAAGCTTTTCTTGCTTACGACTCAATATTAAAATCTTCTTAAGTTATTACTAATTAGACTTTATTGTACTGCATTATAACTTACTAGTGATTTATGAGTTTTTCGATGAATAACTTATCTGAACAAATTATATATCACATAAAAGTGTAACTCTTCCACTACAAATTAGAAAATGAATCATCAAAAAATAGTACAGGGTGTCCAAATGCCAAGTCTCCCAAATGGGTTCCATATTTAGTAACAACGGTGTAAATTTATATTATATATAAATTAATAAAAAACAAATATTGGCATTTTAATGGTATTTAATAGATTAAGTTGTTTCCAAAACCTTTAAACCTGTGATGTATCATTAATTAACTTTGATAATATAAAGAAATAAATATTAAAATATAAATAAATAAATTATTTATTAAAATAACTTTTTCAAATACTGTAATTAATATAAAAATTATTGTATAAAATTAACACAATTTAATAATTCAATAACAAGCCATAATATGATCCTGGTAATAAAATATGCTGTGTTCCCATCACATATCCGCAATACAACCTAATATTTGAGTGATAGACAAGTGCTCCAACATACAGGCCATCACTTGTATGCCACTCATAGGGCGACTCTTACGAAAACGATGCAATTCTGTACGCATTTCTGTGACACATTGATCAGGGTGACCCGATTGGGATTTCCGTATGGCCAATATGGCTGCCATTTCATCGGGAAATAGATCCTGGACACAGTCTTCAAACCCTTCTAAATTGGCATTAGTGTCAGCATCTTTACATTTTACTGTTTCATCAAGTCAAAGTTATAATGATACAAACAACGTGTTATTAATCATACATTTTATAATATAAGAATAATTAAGTTTTTCAATATTTTATACTAGGGCATATTTACCACACATTATCATCAGAGCTTTGCGTTTTAGTTCATCGAAGAATGATTCCTCAGCAGTTGCATAGTGTATGCAAATGAACATGGTTATCACTATTAGTACCAATTTATTCATGATATCAAATTATATTTATTGTTTTAAAACATTATTTGAAATAATATTTTTCTAGCAAATGTTTTATATTTATATTATACGGTAATTGGTTTAAGTATATTTGAGTTCTGAATTGAACACAAAAATAATAGTATTTTCATTGTTTAATTTCTCAGATGTTTAGGACAATTTAGAGGACAATCATAATGTTCACAATTACAACATTATTATTCATGGATTTCTACAAATTTTGCTTTAATTACTTAATAAATTTGCTTTTTGCACGCAAAGTATTTTACTTGTATAAAATCATTCATAAAAATCTAATCAATTAATATTATGAAATTCAATTTAACAAAATAATAATTTTATTATTTATAGTTATAATATTCGTATTCAAAACATAAAAGTAAATTATTGATATAAATGAGTTTAATATGTGGTCAAACTTTCGGGGGTATAGGTGTAGCTTATAGGGGGATGGGCGCCTCCTGGGGGGAGAGGGCGTCCAACTGATGTCTGGGGGTTCCGAGCAAAGCGAGGAATCACTTCCGGAAGTAGCGGTAAACCGGAAATACTAATTGCAGATCAGGTGATGTACTGAAGTGAGACGTAGTCTGCAAACAAAGTGTATGTCTGCCACAGAAATCGGTGTTTTGGTGGTCAGTGGGGCTCTGCTGAGCAGTCCTCCACCTCTTCCTCCGTGGACACGGAGAGAGAACGCCTTCACGGCTTATCGCAGCTCCGGATAACCAGGAACCGAGATCTTGCACACCGGCAAATGGACAACAGTTTAGGCAAAAACAATGTTTATTCAATCATAGCTTAAAGAGTACTGAAAGGCAATGGCGTTAAGCCATGCCTTAAACAAGAAAATACAGGTAGGGGTCAGTGAGTGTTTGGGAAAATGCAAAAAGTGTCGACAATTGGGAGAGAAATAAAAAAGCAATTTCGATACTTTAAGTTTGTGTATAGGTTTCGTTATAAAGAATTATCTTGGATAATTAATACACATCAAATGACAGTCACATAGAGCTGATGACATTCAAAATAATTAAACTTTACATTGTTGTCCACTTTATAATAACTTATCTATTTTATCCGAAATTAGTTACTTATTGATACTTACCACAAAACTTTCAATATTGTAAATATTATAAAACTATAAATAATTTTATAAAGACTGTTAAATATATCGAAACTTGGTCAATATATTACAGATTTAATATTGATTATGACAACACAATAATCTTAATAGACCTTTTATCTATACCATAGTCAACAATTAATTTAAGTTAACAAATAATAAGCGTGTGTAATTGTTACTGAAAATTTATTATTATTAATAATAGAAATATAATAAGCACCATAAACATCATACATCACTTATTATACTTATTATTATATAACAAAAGTACTATTAACAATAAAAATTTTACTAATTAATTTTATTTAAAATACCGTATAATTTGTTTATTAAATTACTGATAGAATAATAAATTAAAGATAAATATTTTATCATAACAATTATAACCTTACGATGTATTATATAAAAATAATATTAAAATGATTGCCGACATATCAGGCACCGGTACGACACCGTGCGAGTTGTGTGAGCCGTATAGTCTGTCGCATACATCCCATCACATCTTGGATAGCGTTCGGGTGATTACGACGGATATCCATCACTTGCGTACGTATTTGACGCATACATTCATCCGGATTAGTGGACTGAGACGCCCTTATGGACATGAGGGCTTCCACATGATCAGGGTATTTTTTCTGTACGCACTCCACGAACTTAAATATACTGGCCTTCACCTCTTCGTCCTTACATTGCATACCCTGATTAGAACCTAGTGTCCAAAATAATAAACTTATCATGGTAGCTATAACTAATAAAACTATTAATTTATTATTAGTTACCACATAAAACATTTCGGGCGTAACGTCTAAATTCTAATAAATCTTGAGCCGATACATAATTTATACAAATTATTATGACCATACTAATATAAATTAGTTTAGTCATTTTAGATTCTCTAATATAATATAATTTTAACTAAAAAATAACTTTAGAACAAAATTGTGATTTTTGAATGAATTGAATCTAGGGTTTTATATGAAATTAGCATACCATAACATATAGTTATTAATTATGCTTAATTTTGGGAACTTTTGGACATTTCGAAGGACAAGTAAACTATATGTTAATTCTATTATTAGACAAAATTGTGTGCTATATGAATACTGAACCAATTTAATAATTTTAATTTGAATAACAATAAATCATGAGTTTGCAACATTAACCAATTAAATAGTATTTTCATGACTATTGTATATTTTATTTTTTATGTTTATGAAAGTTAATTATTTTTAGCTAAAAACTTTAAAAATACAATAAAGTAAATAATTTAATTGCAACATAACAAAGTATATTGTAAAACAAATTAAGAATTAATAGAAATACTATTAAATTATAATTTTATAAGATGTAATATCTATCTAAAAATAGTTGGAAAGATGAACAAAATTTACTAATGTACACGATAATATATTTATAAATAAACTTGCATAAATTTACTAGATTATAATAGGGTATTAGAATTACAATGTTTCTAAAATTGAAATCACTATTTAAATTTAATAAATCTTATCTTGATTTGAAATTGTAAATCATAATTACTATATTTTTTAATGGATTAAATGGAGTAAAATGGATTCAGATAATTTAAGCATTAATATTAAAAAAAGTATAAACATTATTTTTTATTAGAAAAAGTTATTGAACGCATTATAAATTATTTTTTATACATTCCAGATTTATAACACTTAGCAAGGTGATCGGTTATGACATTAGCACGGAAACAGTCGGTTACTTTGATAATACCAGCAGGATCAGACCTAGCATAATTTCTTAGTTCCTCTACCATTTGCTTAAGACATTCATCGCCATCATTTGCCAACCTTTCCCTTATTGTCATTATATTAGCGAACTCTTTGGGATACATTTCCTGAACACATTTGCCAAAATTAATCAAATCCTGTTTAACCGGGTCATCTTTGCAAGTACCTATCAATTCAAAATAAAATAAATTTTAATTAAATTTCTAAAATTAAAATGAAATTTTAAAATCTCTACAAGTATAATATAATAAAATAGTATAAATGATAACTTATAAAAATATTATTTCAAATTCTACTTTATAATAATTATATTAAATTCAGTTTGCATTTTGAATACACTTTACTAACAAATAATATTTTAAAACTATGGAATGTAAAACTTATGTTTGTTAATAAAAAGCTTATTAAATTTAATTAATAGTAATCGAATATAAAGACAATTATAAATTTAACTTATATAATAAATTTGAAATACAAACCGCATAATATCATCCTGGTATTTTTGCGCATTTCATCGGTGAAAATATCCTGAGCCGCCAAATAGGTCACAGCCATAGATAATAAAATAATGACCGAATATTTGAGCATGGTTTATAGTAAGATAATATAAATCTTATTTTGATAAAATTATTTGAATTTTGTTAGTTTTTCATGAATAATGTTATAATGAATGTCACTTTATATATAGTGTACATTGTTGTAAAGAATAATTATACGTCTGTGTACCGATTGTTTTTAATGATGCTTAAAGTATTAATTATATTTGTACCAGTATATATGTAAATTATATTTTTGTGTATAATGAATTATTCAAATGCCCTATTGTTCCCTGATGTTATAACAAAGGTCATTTTATTTGTTTTCAACATTTATATTTTAACCGAAAACCAGCAAATGAATATATACAGTATATATTATATAAATATGTTTAATTCATTATAAATATTACATAAGCCTAAATTATATATTAAGATTTCTATTTCTATAATAGGATAATTATATATCTAGATGTTGCGAAATATAACTTAGCTTACAATGCATTCCCTTGAAATGTTCCCGCTAATTGCAATTAAACCCGATTGAAATATACTCGTATGGTACTGTATAATAATAATATCCAGGTCGGGTAAACTATGGGAATGTCTTGGGTGTCCAAATCGATATATCTGTCGACGCGCTATAAAAACTCTATACATTTTGCGCGTCTAATCTTTAAACGTTTTAATCTTTAAATGTCTAATCTATAAAAACAAGTCAGAGTTACAATATTAGGAATGAAAGTATTTCACAGCAAAAGGTATAGAGTTTTTATTTCGTGTCGACCGATATAACCACCGATTTGGACACCTAAGGTATTCCAATAGTTTACCGGACCTAGATATTATTATTATACTACACCAAACGAGTATAATTCAGTCTGGTTTAATTGCAATTAGCGGGAACATTCCAAGGGAATGCATTGTTTGGTTACAAGAATTGATTGATGGCTGATTACACTTGTGGGTGTTAGTACACTTTTTATACTTTTGTAAAGTTAGTTACTAGATAAAGTTTTAGCAATATTATTTAGCTGGAAATTTTTACGGTAAGTAATTTCACAAATAATTGAAGTATATTTCGAAGAAAAATATTGGCTATTAATTTAATGTAGATTACTATATTGTTAGACGATCATTATATGATCTATAATATTGTAATAATACAGTAATATTGGTAACAAAATTATGATATCAATAAATATAGTATTGTTTTTACTTTAATATTAGAAAATTTTCATTGTATTTATTTTATTTAATAATTATAATAATGAGCTAACAAATTAAATAATAAATTCTTTTAGTTTAAAAAGATTAAATTACATTGCTGTTTAAGTAGATATTTGCGAACATTAGTATCATATAATTTTTAATTAACAATAAAAATATAATGTTAATATTTTTATAATGCAAAATTTTATAAAATACAAACTATTAGTTTGTTTTTAAGAAATCATAGTATTAATTATTAAATATTAAACAAAAATAATGATTATATTCGTTTATTATAATTTAGTAAAATTTAGAATAAAATCCTAAAATTAAAATATTTTCTAAATTTGTATAAAATAAAATTAAAAACTAAATATAAAAAGCGTATTAAAATTAATAACAAGGAATTCAAAATAATATAATTGGTGATATCTAGATTATTAATGGCATTTAGCTAGGTGATCGGGGACCACATTAGCCCGGAAGCAGTCCATGACTTTGACGGCACCGGACGGGTCAGCCCTGGCATAGCCTTCCAATTCAGTTCTCATTTGTTTGATACACTCGTCCGGGTTAGACATCTGTGCCTCTCGTATGGACAGGATTTTGGCGAACTCTTTGGGATACAGGGTCTGAACGCACTGACCAAACTTCATGATGTCACCTCTTACAGTCTCGTCCTTACAGGTTCCTGGTCATTTTATAACAATATACTTTATAATGTTAGATCATTTAATTTTGTAAATATTATATTTTTGTTATATTTGTTTTAACAATATTAATCTGTAATGAGCAACTGAGATACATATTTGTAATGTTATAATATTTCAAATTTATAAAATAACTACAACTAAAAAGTTGTCTATTGTAATATAAAAAACTAAATCACTTAAAAATTGTTATGAATATTATATTGAAAATATTTATGTTAAATGAAAGTATACTGATACATACCACACATAATCATTTTGGCGTTTTTTCGCACCTCTTCAGTGAATATTTTGCTCATGTCTTGAGCCGATGTATAAATCACAACAAGAGCTAACAGTGCCGTCAGAGAAATCAACAGTTTAGCCATTATTATGTTTTAGTATATAAATTACTTTACTAAAATTAACTTTAATGGCCAGGCAACTAAAATTAAATAATAAATTTGAATAAATCCGATCAGTATTTATATACATTAGAAAAATTACATATTTTATACAAATAACATCTAAATGTACTAAAGGTATTGTGTTTATCAGGATTGTAGTTCGTAATTAATTACTGAGTTCATGATCTTGGACATCTATTGTGACAAATGTAAGCAAAAAATATAAATTATTACTTGAGTCCTGAATGGATTATTTGCGTGCTAACCATTGAATTGACATAATTGTTAAATATTTTATTATTATTAATTCTGTCTAATTATAAAATGTACTATTAACAATAATTTTAATTTAATCAAATGGACAAAATAAATGATAACTGGTGAAATACTTTTAAAGTGTGTAACAAATATTATTATATAATTGACATAAATTATAATTAATTAATATATAAATCAATAATAGAATTATGAAGTTTTATCATATTTATTAACAAAATAGAATTAGATATCTGAGGTACTATCATAAAACTATAACAATATTAAAAAATCAATTAAGTTTNATTAACAAAATAGAATTAGATATCTGAGGTACTATCATAAAACTATAACAATATTAAAAAATCAATTAAGTTTAAAATTAACTATATATTCTAATCATTAATAAAAATTAATAAATAAGTTACTGCTATGTAATTTTAACTAAAATATTTCCATATAAAAACAATTAAAAACAAAAAATACTTTTCTTTCTATTAATTAGCTAATTAATGGTAGTACCTTTGTATATTAATTTTCAACTAATTAGACTAATATTTTAATTGATTTTTTAATTATTAACATAATAGAATTTAATTATTTATAATGAAAGCATTTGTACTCAAATGTTCACAGTGCAAAATGTACTAAAAATACTTTTAATTTTTAGTAGTCATATACATTTGTACTAAAATATACTATTAATTACAAACACATTTCCAATAAATATTAGTCTAGTTTAAAGTAAAATTATTATGAAATTCATAGAAATACACAAATACTTTTTAAATAATTATATCATTAACTGAATACAGTATCCACTCGTTTTAGAAAACTAAAATTTCTCTAATATTAGTATTAAGACAAATGATACTCTTGAATTATTTTTTTATTATTAATACTGTAATTACTACATATTTATAAAATTAATAACAAATAAATTACGTTAATTAAACTATTTTAATTAAAATATAAGTCTTGAAATTAATGTAAAATTCTTACAACTTCTAAAAATTATTTGAATAACAATATTTATACAGATTTGACATGTTTTATAAAAAGGTTATGCAGATGAGTAAATAGATCTTGAAAGTGCTATGCATTTTGATTAATGCAATATTTGTCTAATGATACATTTACATAAAACCTACAAATATAAACAATTTAATTAAAAATATAAAAAATCAAATATGTATTAATAGTCCAATGTACGGATTAGTGTATTTTAGTACATTTCAAGTATTTTCTGAATCATATATAAACTGATATATTTCCAAATTTTTAATTATAATACACTTTAACAGAATTTACTAGTTGTGTAAGATATAATAGTTTAACTAACGGTAATACACTGTCAATTTTAAAATAT